GTAGAATAAATTGAGTAGAAGATGAAATATTAGACCTCAAAGATATACTTTGTCAAGCAGTAGGTTTTACCAAGAAAGAACAAAGGGAAGAAATCAAGTTGGACTTTAATTTGTAGAAGTATTACCTCAAAATTGTCTTGTCTCTCTTACTTTTGCTTTGCTTTGCTGTATATTCACACATTCTTTTTTAATTTTCAGATAGGCATTCTCTAAATTATTTAGGATATGTTTTACTGGTTTATTGTTGTTGTTATAACACTTTTACTTAAGGTTGTTTTCAATACTTCAAGCCTTCCTGGCATGTGCACTAATTCAAACTGTGCAAGAGAGTATTTTACATGCTGTGTTCTGCCTCCCAGTTGGTATCACTAGGACATATGGATTTCCTGTCTATATTTTAATCGTCTTTCTTCTCTTCTAAAAACAGGCACTAACCTGTGTGCAATGTACTTAAATTGGGTTAACATAGAAGTTCATTGAAGATAATTGTTGGTGCAGGTAAGGTGGAGAACAGTGACTTTAGCCGTAAATTCTTAATGGAAGAATTCTTGGAAATGTGAGAAAGGAATATGTAAGGAATGAATTCAAACCTTATCATCAAAATGCAGGGCATGGGTACCCTATGTGCACGAGGAACATGTCTAAATACCTTTGTATCCTTGAAAAGATTGAGCATGTTAGATATTTAGTATAATTGTTGTATGAATAAATTAATAAAGTATTAGTGAGGCACATCTTTCTGTCAAAGCTATCCCAGAACTCAGCTATATGAAAGTGAGAGAGTCTAAGCAAGAATGATAATTTACATTCCATCCCAGCATAAGGTATACAGCTATGACTCCAGACATCTAGCTTATTCTACAAGGACCTCTTGTTCTTATTCATGATCTGTAAGGATGGTTTTACTTGCAGCATTAGTCATTTTATTCCCCTTCATTTGTAGCCATGCTCCAATAATTTCCTCAAATAAGACATTTTCACATAGTCTACCGTGGGTGCTGTGTCTGGCCAACATCCATCCATTTATACATTAAAACTGAAAGCATTATAAGTGATAGATGGATTAGGATACAATTAAAATATGTGTTAGAAAGGTCATCTGTTTTATTCATTACTATTTTCCCTGTAGTTTACTAAGGCTGTTTAGTGATTCTTGCACCCCAAGGCTCTTTTAATGAAGGACACATTTTAGAAATTCAAGAAAATAATCAATCTAATAAATTGTCTTTGTATAGCTCTCCATTAGAATAAATGTCTATTGCTAGAGGTTCAATTCTAGCAGGAAGCAAATAGAGTGTTCCTTTTGCTGTTTGTACAAAGCAAGTGTGAAGTGTGTATCATGGGAATATGGAAGTGGAACAGCTGTTTTTTCTATGCAGATCTTAGTGTTTTTTTTCTCTTAAATGGTATTCATTTATTTGTGAAAAAATGACATGACATGGCAGACTTTCTTAAGCACAATTAAAACAGGTTTAGTACCCACTGGGTTTTTGCAGTGAGGGGAAGAGCTTGAGTTCAATTGTAAATACAATAATGAAAATTGGAAATTGATACCCAAAGATCAAGTTGGTGTAGATAGTAGGTGGAAAATTACAGTGTGTTATGTATTGAGGAAATGATTCTGGCTAAACAGACCTAACAGAAACCTTCCTGCTGAAGGCAGGTAAGGCTGGTATGACATCACTTGGAGCACAGGGAAAAAAGAGGGACCCAATTAGATAGACACTGGTAGGCAGATACCAGAGGTGAGAATTTGGATTGAATTGACTTGGAAGGGTTCATACTAATATTGAACAATTCACAAACTAATAGAGAAAGGCAGAAGTGAGGAGCTAGTTGAGAAGAGTTGAATTGACTGAAGGCCAGAAAGGGAGATTTTCTTTTTGTTTCATTTGTTGTTGTTTTATCAGTGCCTGTCTTTGGAGGACAAAATTAATGAATTTTTTATTCCAGCCCAAATCTTCTATTTTACTACTTAAAATATTTGTGTGATTATTTTTGATTAACAGGATTGGTACATTATTTACAGTAACTTCATTTATGTTTTCTTCTCTATCCTTTTGCATAAAAGAAGAGCAATAGCCTTGCTTACTCAAAGCCAAGCAGGAATGCCAATGATTCAGAAATCACCCATCCTGTTGCTCTCCCACCTAGAAGACTTAATGTAGAAGATGTGTCTATTTGCAAATGCTTTATCAAATTTTGATTTGGAGAACTAAATTAGATGAGTAAAAATGAACTGGAGGGAAAAAGTTGTCTGTGAAAATTCCTTAAGTAACCCTGAGTTGATAAACCCCACACCAGCAGTCTGTGGGCATATCTAGCTCCACCCTTCACTTCCGTGGTTTTACCATTCCCATGTGGCCTTCAAGCTGAATGTCACATTCACAGGCTTTCACATTGTTCTCTATTTTGGGTTTGAGTTAGTCACGCTGTGACATTCCAATATAGCAGAACAAAACTTTCTTGTGTATCTATATAGTCAAGTCAGGCATAAAATGAAGTTTTAGCCCAAACAGAGAAGATTCTGTATTCAGACAGACAGATGGGTTCTATGTATATTTGTATAGAAACCAATTAAGGTGAGAAGTTCTGAGTCTGCTTCAAATTCTCGAAAGCTTGCTTAGAGCTATAATTACCTTCCTTGTGGTTCTCTCTGGCTTCCCCCCGCTCGGATTGTGCACTACAAGCAGCTCTAAAACTCATGTGCATTCCTCTAATTCCACTCAATAATCAAAGGGTAGCTTTCCTTATAGACTGTGGCTACTATTTTCTTTAAAATTACTTTTCCAAGTAGGGATGAATTCCTCAAATAATTCATGGATATTTAAAATGATCTGTTTTGTGCATAGGTTGCTAATGAGAAGTACTGAAGCCCTTTCCAGAACAGAATACTTGGCTTGATTTCACGTTCATCAAAACATAAGGCCAAGGACATTGCTGTAAAGTCTATGCCAGCTATTTGATTACAATATCAAATAGATGTACTCATTATAAATATCCCTTCTACAAAGAATGCGAAGACAAGAGCACATTGAGACTCTAAAGTTGAAAATCATGTTTTAAAACATAGCATCAATGACCATGCTTTCTGTTTCTCCACAAGGCAGGGGTACCCTCTCCATTGCTTTGTCTTTGGAAAGGGAGCATTGGCTTTGCCAGCCACTAGCAATGCTTCTGAGGTGTGCTTCAGAAACATATTGACAACTAGTAATTAGATTTGTGATCTCAGACCTTATAAGATGGCTATGTTCCAATTTAGAATCCAGAAAAAGGGAGTTCTTACTTGGCAGCTCTCTTTGCTTCTTTGGTTTCTGGGGTAAACTTGCAGAGAGAATAACTCACAACTTCAAGTCTGTGTTTTGTTATATAAGAGTAAAGATGGATCACAACAGGGTGGGCATTGTCTGAGAACATTTCTCCTGTTTATAATCTTACCACTTTGAAGTGTTTATGCCTGGAGAGATAGCATGGTTACATTCAGTTTTATCCTACGATTTACATTGTGTGCAGTAACTTCTCAGTAAATATTTACTGAACGGAGAAGACAATGATTATGATGATTACAGATTCTACCTGTGAAGACCAATCTTTGTTAAGGATCCTATTGTTTTCTTCCAGGCATGATTGTGCATGCCTATAATCTTAGCACTAGGGAGGCAGAGAGAATCACAAGCTCCAGGAGAGGCTGCACATGGAGACCCTGTTTCAGAAACAAACAAAAAAGTTGCTAAACAAACATAACATTAAATTGTCCTCTAGGTACTTATAGTTACACCGTCAAATTAGTCTCTCAACTCTCAGTAGAAAAGCTTCTTTTGTAGCAGATAGTCATTAATACAGAGACCTACAACTGATCAACATGAAGATAACAAGAGATGGGGGTTGATCAACCCTAAATGGAACATTTATATCACACATCTTTCTTCAACTATCATTATGGAAGGGGAGATAACCAGAAAGAATTTGAGAACCAGAGAGATTGGATGACTGAAGCAAGACAGGGTTTTCTGGATTTGGAAGATATGAACAGCTGTGAGTGCATGTTCATTACACATGCAAAATCAAGCCAGAGAAAGCTCAAGGATGGGCAGGAAGTCCTGTTGTTTCACTCCTAGCTGAGAAGTTATTGGCAATGGATGGTTCCTGGTGAAGTGAGACTCAGTTTTGTTCAAGGATGTTGTCCCTGAGATGCTATCTCTTCTCCAGTAGATCATACAGGCATGGAAACACTGGGTTAAAGAGTGCCCGTGATGTGGGAAGGGAAAAGCAGTGAGGGGAGAATAGGGGAAGAGTTGATCAGAAGAGAATAGGCAATGGAGGCAGATTAGATCATTTGATTTAAAAACATAGTTTAATAAAAAACCCAAACAGTTCTACAACAAGTGGATGTGTTTCCTCTTTTATTCCTTGAGAGAAGCAAGTTAGTGTAGTTTCTTGACTGTGTTTCAAGGAGCATCAGAGATAGTGTCCATTCCTTACAGTTCACTATACATAGTTCACTACAGATAAAATGACCTGCATATAAGAAACAAAAACAAGATAACAAGAGAAATCCTTTACAGCTGAAAAAATTACATTATTGCCAGGTATAGTGGTGCACATATTTAATTCCAGAGCCCAGGAGTCAAAGGCTGGTGTGTTTGAGGCCATCATGGTCTACTTAGTGAGTTCTAGGACAACTAGGGCTACATAGAAAAACCATGTCTCAAAAACAAAAACAAAAACAAAAAACCCAAAACATAAAACAATAACAAAGCAACACAGAAATAAGAAAATACTACATTGCATATATTAATATATTGCTTACAGATACATTTTCTACCTTCTCTCCAATCTCATAAAAATTTCCCTCACTTATATCTCATTTTCTTCTGCTTTTTTTTATTTGTTTAAGTTCTAACACTCTTTATTCTAGGCTCTGTCAATTCTTTTTCTTCAAGACCTGGCTCCTTTCCATCAAGTATATATGGAGATTACCATGGTATTTCTTTTTTCAGATGCTCAAAGAAGCCAAAGTGTGGGAGATTCAAATTTGTCTGCTGGAGTTCCTGACAGCATGATGAAGGATCTCTTGTAGACTATATTTGGTCTGTGTTTCAGGAATACAATGACTAGTGAGCAAGAGTAATCTTCTTAGGTAGGATCACTTTGGATTTTTTAAAAATACTTAATTGAAATAAATTTATATTTGTACTCTCACTCACCCTTATTAAATTCAATGATATTTATCAATTTGTACAACTACATAAGTATCATCACAACCCAGTTGAGAACATTTCCATCACTCTAAAGATGCTAGTTCATCCTGCTTTTTAACTGTAGGCACCCACTAATCATTTTCTTTTAAAAGACTCATCTTTTTTGAATAGTCCATATGAAAAGAACCATGCAGGCGGGCGGTGGTGGTGCATGCCTTTAATCCCAGCACTTGGGAGGCAGAGGTAGGCAGATCTTTGTGAGTTGGAGGCCAGCCTGGTTTACAGAACGAGATCCAGGAAAGGCACAAAGCTACACAGAGAAACCCTGTCTCAAAAAACAAAAACAAAATCATACAATGTATAGCTTTTGTTTATAGCTTTAGTTTAGCTTAATATTTCTGAAGTTCATTAAAGATTAATTTTAATGGATGTGTAGCTGTAGCTAGAGTTTTCCTGCCTTGCCCACAGTCAGGACAAATCTCTGTCACCCGTCAGTCCCACAGCCGCTCAGACCCAACCAAGCAAACACAGAGACTTATATTGCTTACAAACTGT